AGATTTAAAGCCTTGAATAAGTAATTACAGACAAAACGTATTTACAAAAGATCCAAGCCAGTCACGGCTATACAAAATGTCTGTTTACAAAAATATATACATAAAAATTCTCATTAATAATAATAATAAAACAAAAAAGGAGCAATTAAATATCTTTGGTAAGTTGCTAATCAAAGAGACAGGACTTCAAAGTGGAAAGGAAATGGGATCGGAGGATAGAGGCACATAGCGAGAAAGACTAAAAGCATATTAATGACGAATGGTGGAGTGAGTGTGTGTTCATCTTGTTAAAAATATAGTTCCTCCTCACAGTTAGTTGTTTTCAACGATCCGGATTTCGAGCTTATCATCTCCTTCATCATAACGGTTGAAGAAGTTCTACAACCGCGTCTCTCGACATGGATTGTAAGACTAGACACAGTGGCTGGTGGGTTAGAGCTCCTTCAACCTGATGATGAGCTATAAACTAAAAATCCGGATCGTTGAAAACAACTAACTGTGGGTAGGAACTATCTTTTTAAAAAGATCGACTGAAACCAGAAATTCTGTATTTAGGGGGATAGAGAACAAAAGAGTAGGAACGAGTTTGACCGAGTGTCCTTAGGATCTGAAGGTCATGTATGTATATAATGGAAAGCCAAGGAAGCATTACCTGCGATAAGAAGTGTGTAAAAGCTTCAAGTCAGTTCAGTTGCGACGCAAGTACTTATTAGTCGTTTAAACTTATCATCAAGCACCGCAGTGGGACCCCTGTACAAAAGGAATACGTCCAGAGAACAAATTAGAAAACTTGACGGCTACCAACACAAAACGTGACTGGCATAACGGAACTATGGGGTTGGAAAAGCAGCGGCGTGCAATCTGAGGGATATGAAAATCTTCTGGACAATCTCAAGACCCTTGACGATGGGACAGAGGGAATAGTGTTAATGTTAAATGGAGGGTTGGAGGCGTAGGAGTTAAGGATTGGAGGACAGAACTGGATCCATTTTCAACGGTTCAAAAGCTAATTGAGTTTAACTATTCCGGAATTCTTACAATTGCAAGTCAACAAGTGCAACTTCTACCACTTGCAAGTGAGGAGATGGGAAAGAAAGGAAAATTTCGGACTTATCTGCATAAAAATGATTTGAAATGTCCTATTAATTTAGGGAAGTCATTGTTTAGAAAAAATGTAATAAAAAAAAGAAGCGGGGTTGCTTGAATCTTGAGGAAGAGTCCAAAAGTGATAGACTGGGAAAAGACAGAAGCTGAATTTGGACAAGTCTGCTTGAGAAGGAACTGAAAAGAGTGGAATTATCAGAGGATATTCTCGGAGAAAAATAAGATTTTCGGTTTAGTAAGGATAAGCGAATTATCTCCGGTATCGCTCTGGAAAAATCGAGAAGGATAAGAATGCTAATTTTACATTTTTAATAGCCGTCTGTGTGTCGGTAGAAATTTTTAGATCGTCGGATTGTGTGGATGAATCAGGACGGAAGCCAAATAGGAGCAAAAAGAATTGAGTTCTCTAAGTATGTAAACACTTGCAAATGGTCTAATTTTCCAAGAGATTTCCATTGGAATGGATAGATATTGAACGGAAGTCATTTGGGGAAGAGGAATATTTTTGTTTACATGATTTAGGAAATAAGAAGTTCGGTCAGGACAAAATGTACACGATTCTAGGAATCTTTAATTCGCTTTGCTGGTTTTCCATAGAAACTAACTACTGATCTGATCCCTCTAATGAGAAGAAGCTGTTAGGACCAAATGGAGGACGACTAAGAGGGTTTGGTTTTTAAGATAGCAAAGATTTTGATCGCAATCAATACTTAGCGAATCTCGTGAGATGTTTTACAGCTCCTTAAAACGATAAATTCTGGCAGTTACATTATATTGGCTGCGCAATTGTAAACGCTGAACGTAAATAATGAGCAACCACGGAGCTTGGAGATTTCTAGTGTGTACAATAAAACTTAAAATGTCGCCCTATTTATTCTGAAACAAAATATTGCGATGGGAGTATTTTTATCAGATTTTATAGGATTGTTTTTAGCGACTGCCAATATCGTTATCAAACTTTAGAAACTGTTAATGAACTCATACTCTAAAAGAACTTCTAAAATGGACGAATCTAGCCTAGAGGGTGTCAGGGTGCTCGCGTCACCAACTTTGTCAGTGAATTTCACACCTTCAGAGTCACAGCGAAGTTGGTGTGAACCATGCGCCGATTCTCAACCCCTTTGCAGATATCCAAAATTTTATCTTTTTTCCAACTATCTTCGGTTTTCGTTACAAATATACTCGTAGCTCCTGAATTATTCGTTTTTGGGGAAATCCAAAAAAAGCTTTGAAAATTTGAAAACAGCATTACATTTCGTTTAAAAAGACTCCCTTCTAGAGTTTTCAATTTAATTTTTGCAAAAATTTTTCCAAAACTACTAACCCCTTTTCAGATATCCAAAATTTTATCTTTTTTCCAACTATCTTCGGTTTTCGTTACAAATATACTCTTAGCTCCTGAACTATTCATTTTTGGGGAAATCCAAAAAAGCTTTGAAAAGAGCATTTATTTCGTTTAAAAAGATTCCCTTCTAGAGCTTTCAATTTAATTTTTGCCAAAAATCGTTCAAAAACTACTAACCGCTTTTCAGATATCCAAAATTTTATCTTTTTTCCAACTATCTTCGGTTTTCGTTGTAAATATACTCGTAGCTCCTGAACTATTCATTTTTTGGGAAATCCAAAAAAAGCATTATATTTCGTTTAAAAAGACTCCCCTTTTAGAGCTTTCAATTTAATTTTTGCAAAAAAAAATCTTTCAAAAACTACTAAATTTAAAATTTGTACAACTAAATTTGATATCTCGTTGGAAAAATTTACAGTAGAGCTTGGCATATTTCATAACAACTTTTTTGTTGAATAAGATTTCTAGCGGTATACCCTTTTCTTTAATTAAATCGAATCAAATTGCAGAAGTGTTATGTTAAACAATATGAAACGTTCCGAAACATTCAATCTCACCATTTTTCTCTAATAAGAGGTCGAGAAAGTCCACCGGGTATGTATCTCGAATAGCCGATACAGGGAGTCGGTACAGACGAGATAGGAGACGCCCTCCTTCATCTCGAATCACGCAGAGCACGTGCCCAATCTCGTACTGCTCCGCGGTGTACGCGCTGCAGTATCTATAATGGGGTCATTCGAGGCTCCTTCATGATGCTTCTCGGGCAACTTTTGTTACCCTGTACTAAGGATGTTTTTATGGACGTTGATGTCTTCTCCTGGGGTGGTTTTCGGGACCTCCGTTGAGTCCTACAAGGTTTCTTGGTAGTCGGTTTGGGATGTTAGGGAGCCTTCGGCTCAGAAGACAGCCGTGCTGCCACCTGGGCACAGGTACTGGCAGAGCTTCTGGTCTCTACACTCTACAATTGCCCCTTTTCAAGAATTGTTGAAAACTCAGCCGAATTACAACCTTCAGTTTCTGTATTTCTTCTTCCTTTGCGAGAACCCGGATGACGAATCGGGCCGTTTGAGTTCACAAATGTTTTCAGTGTTTGTTTTTTACCAAAACTAAATTGAACGTTCTAGAAGGGTGCCTCCTTAAAGAAAACAATGCTCTTTGAAATCCTTTTTTTCGTACTTTCTACAAAATGAATAGTTCAAAATATATGATGCCGAAAACCGTAGATAGTCGATAAAAACAAAATGTATAATGTATTCAGAAGGGTTGAGAACCGGACAATGGTTCATACGAACTTTTTGTCAGTCAGGAGGTGTGAAATTCCAAATTTGTAATGAGAGTGATACCCTGTGTATCTGCATTCTTGGGTTTCTTAATGTTACCAACTCTGTTTTATTGTTTATACTGTGCGTTTCTTAGTGACCTGTAGTTTCATAATTTGTTGCAGTCGTGATGAACGGTCAAGAATGAGGTAGTTTAGAACATCACACTTTCACCCAACACCAATATGACACCACAAGAATAACACCACACTTTATTCCCTGAAGATGACCCGAATAACGGTTGAAACGTGATAAAAAAGAAAAAGGTGTTTTTTCTAAACTACCTCATTCTTGACCGCTCCTCACGACTTCAACAAATTAGTTGTACTTCCGACCTTGGTACCTAAAATACTCAAAACCTTCTGGCGAATCGTTCTTTATAAACGGCTTCCAAACAATCTACCTTTACACAATTTTTGTAAGCATTAAAAGCTTTTGATTTTGGTTTTTTTTTTTTTTGCAATTTTTCTATTTTTGTATAATGTCGGAAGTCTTTGCGAGGTAGTCGTGCCGCGGACGATTAGGTTGGGAGGAGTTCAGCGGAGGCGTATCATACGTAAGACGTGCACGACCTTTGACATCATCCAAGGAAAGAGTTCAAAACCCCCACGACGCGACACGACGACTAACCCACTAACGTCTCTTCAAAACGCTTACATTTATAAAACCAAAATAAATATGAATAAACCCCCTACATTAGCCACCAAACTATAGAATATATTGTATTGGAAGGATTATCTAATAATTCAAATTTATTGTCGTCTACATAATAATTTTTTTTTAAAGAAAGAAATCATTTTTACAATTTATTAATATAATTATTTAAATTGTAATAAGATTAAATATAAAAATGAATAAAAATATATTAACAAATATTAAAACACTTATTTATTAATTGACAATTATTGCGAGAGGTAAAATATGGATCCCACAATATTTCTCGTAAACCTTTTCAAATTTACATTTTCCGTTTTTCGAAACAATGTATTTTTAATTTCTCGCCCAAGGGAATAAATTAATTTACATGCAAAATAAATTCCTTCCTAAATATCCTACCACAATTTCACCTGTATATTCATAACACAATTTAAAATTTGGCAGAACACTTTTTTTACAACCAGCGCGAAAAATAATATCGATAGACAATGAAACAATATTTTTCCATTCTGCGAGTTGTACGTGAGTGCAATTATTATCGATTGCTTTCGCTTCCGCCCGTCTGGGTTGAAAAAGGTAGAAACGACAAGTGTAATTAGTTTCGTTTTTAATTTACAATTACGGACAATTGCGCACAGAATAATACACACTGCCTAGAACAAAGTCCATCCATTAATAACACTAATCTAATACTCCTTCTTTTTCCAGGCTGGTATTTCATTTATTAGCTATACTTATAGCTCTGTGGAACTAAAAGGCCTCCACCTCACATCATCTGTCTTGAGTTTCTAAAATATACAAAATGACATACAATTTTTCAATGAATACTTGTTTTATTTAAATATTGTAATGTTAAATATATAAAGCACATAATTAAATTGTGTTAAAATAGCTAGTTTCAGATCGGGAAACTCAAATAGAGGAAGGTTCCACCTACATTACATTACAGGTACCCATTCAGTTGTGTTTTTATAGCTATGATGTGATGTAGGTGTTTAGGTGTTTTATATATATAGTATTGTTTCTTTTTTTTACACATTTATTTGAAATGTATCCATAATTTTACAATTCCACATTCACCATTTTATGCTGTACATACAAGATGGACGACATTAACGCATCACCCTTATATTTTTATATATTTAGATTACAATTAATTAAGGTTTTTAGTTGAGATAAAAAGTCAATGGCTCGAGCGGGATTCGAACCCACGATCTTCGGCTAGATACGCCGCTGCTCTACCACTTGAGCTATCGTGACCTCGATCCACTCGAACACAAACTTCCCATCTCAACTCCACCTTTTGAATTTTCCCTCCTTTTTGCCATTTTTCAAATGTCGTGTAATCGGGATGGATTCTCGACGACAAATGAAATGGCCACGGAGAGCTTTAGTGAAGTATACTTCATTTTTAATCATTAAATTCACTAATTTGGTGGTTCGCTTGACCAATTAATATATCACAATTAATTAAGGTTTTTAGTTGAGATAATGTGTTAATTTATCGGAATGAATGTAATTTATTAGCGTGAAAGGAAGGGGTTGCTTATAACCCCACCCCGAGGAATATCAAGTACTCTGGGGTAAATATATGACGTCTGGAGAGTAAAAGTAATTTATTAGCGTGAAAGGAAGGGGTTGCTTATAACCCCGCCCCGAGAAATATCGAACACTCTGGGGGAATGAATGTGACCAGACATCTATGTTTGTGGTGATGTATATATATGTATTGTATATTTTGTTTTTATTCTGTATTTGACAACCTGAGGTACAAACGAGAGACTAGCATTCTAGAATATCAACGTAATATATATCTGAAATCAAAGAGTCAGTAACCAGATCGAGATGCTCAAATGGCTGCAGTTTAAAACAAAATATGCGCGGAAGAAAATAAAAAGATGGAAAACACGCAGAGGGCCGGCGATGACCTCAGCTGTTTGTTGGCCCATAAACTTCCCACTTATATATATAGTTGAGATAAAAAAGTCAATGGCACGAGCGGGATTCGAACCCACGATCTTCGGCTATACCTTTTGAATTTGGCAAAAAGGAGGGAAAATTCAAAAGGTGGGGTTGAGATGGGAAGTTAGTGTCCGAGGGGATCGAGGTCACGATAGCCCAAGTGGTAGAGCAGCGGCGTATCTAGCCGAAGATCGTGGGTTCGAATCCCGCTCGTGCCATTGACTTTTTTTATCTCAACTAAAAACCTAAATTAATTGTGAATTGAATATATTTAGACTTATTCAAATTTATAATACCAAAAATAGGTTTGGTTATAAAAAGAAGACCTTTAAAAAAATGTTTAATATCTAATTCTAAAAATAAATAAATAAACCTGGTAACATCCTGAGGAATTCTTTCCCATTCATTAAGAATAACTGTTTCTAACTCTCCTGGGATTCGCCGTCGTACTCGCGGCTTAAGTTAGTCCTAAATGTGTTCGATTGAATTCAAGTGCGATCTTCGAGTTGGCCACACCAAGCACTCAATTCCAACGTTAATCAGTTGGTCATCCGCATTAAGTGCTCTTTGGGGTCTGGCATTATCCTGCATTAGCGAGAATCTCTCAACGATTTGGGGGAGACAAACGGCACTACGTGTTCTTCGATTATGTCTTGTAAGTACCTGTGTGAAGTTAGAGATCTTCCTCGGTCAACAACTAATCCGGTGCGGCATCCGAGGAAACGCCACCCCAGAACATCAATGACCACCGTGGAATGCCAACTGACTAACTTACCTCTCTCCTGAGCGTCTCCATATGAAATTACGCCCATTCGAGGATTTAAGGCCAAACTTTTGGCGGGATGGCTTCTGACCAACCTGATGGCGAGAAAATTAGACCTGGTTGGAAAAACATCCACCTTAACTCTCCTCACATTAACTCAAAAATACTGGGAAAAAGTCAATGCCTTTATTAGCTGAGGTATTTAAGGATATGGCACCAATACAAGTGAAGATGGAGAAAAACAGTATTCTGCCTGCATTTCAAGCGGAATATATCACAAATTTTAAAAGTCGCGATGTTAATTTTGGCAACAAATATCCTTAACGTCCGAATTAAAGGCCAGTTTCTTAAAGGACACTACATTCACGGATGGTTCGATAACAACTAAGGGAGTTGGTTGTGCTTTTTACGACCCCATAGCAAATCTGAAACCAATGTTTTGACTGCCAGAAAATCTTTCAATGAACTCTGCACAATTGGTCGCAATATTAAAGATACTAGAATATGCGAAACAAAAACAAATTAGGCACATGTGGAATGAAACTGGAAGTTTCAATAATGTGGATACAAGCGCAAGTGGGGATAAAAGGTAATAAAATAGCCGAAAAATTAGCCAAAAAAGAAATGGTGTCTGCACTCACATTGGCCATACCAGTTCCAAAAAAGACGTAAAAAGATCCCCACATTTGACTCTTCTCATGGGCTGGCAATTGGCGTATTCATCCGCAGGAGCAGGCCAATTTTTTAAGAGAATTTTCCCCTTAGTAGTTGGTAGGACGAGAGCCTTGGTACCGTGGAGATCACTACGACAGGGCGCAGACTACGACCATAAATAGAATGCTAACGAATCATGGGCTTTATGGCCAGGAAGGAATGAAGGAAATTACATCCATTTGAAGATTTGAGGCCAGCTCTCACCTCAACTATAAAGAGAACTCGTCCCCAATTTTCCAATGTCCAATCGCATGCTCTCATGTGAATTGAAGCCAGACAATTTTCTGTCATGTGGTTAGAAGACGTCCACGAGCCAGTTTTCCGTGCCCTGAAGTTATTTTCATAAAGCCATTTTCTTACAGTACTGGAAGAAATCGAAAAATTTTTGACTTGTATTTTTTTATTTCTTATCCTTTTTCCCAAAATGCTCCGATATCGTAGAACTAGATGACGGATGAAACTTTTGCCTCTCCCGTCCGTCGTCATAGGTCGACCCAGTCCTGGCCTTCTAGGGAAGTCTTGTTTCTCTGAAGCGTCGAAAACCCCTTCCTATTGTAGTTAATGTTTATGTACGTTACTGTTTTAAATGTTATGATCCTGACACTCTCATACTCATTCAAATACCTGACATTCAATACCATTGAAAAAGGTTTAAAAATAAAAATAATGTCAAATAGAATCAATGAAGTAAAAAGATAGACTGAAAGCGATCATTAGGTAGAATGGAAGGACATAATGCTATTTTTTGTACAAATGTAATTAAACAGGACAAACGTAAATAAAGGAAGTAAACAAAGCATTATTTCACGTTGAACCGACACTGGGTCATTTATTTTATTAAATTATTAAAGTATTATTTACTGTTTATTTTTACTACTATAGCTCCCAATTAGCTTCAAAAAAATAATGGATTTAATTGTAAACTAAATAAATTAAGTGGTGAGGTAAATTTGTATGTCAGTATATCAGTTAAGTTTACAGCTTTTATTTACTTTTTTATTTTATTTAATTTAAATTATTTTTTTCTTTATATACTTTGTTTTTATCTTGTTGAATATTTATGCTGTTATTTTCCGTGTTAATAGAAAATGTTCTACAATCAACTTAATTTTTATGATTTATTTTCTCTACCGAATACTCTTACATCCTCAAAATTTATATCGTGTCCTGGGTCTTTTACACTTTACCTTAAGCCTGTATTGTCATATTTGTTTTTAAGTAATTTTTTATTTATTATTTTGTATAAAAAATGTACAGTTTTACCTATGTACTTTTTTTTTATAATGAACATTGTAATTTACCCACGACTTTATTATTTTTAAGCTTATCAATAGAATCTTTTATAGGAGACAAAATTTTAGATACCATTTCACACGTGTATGAATTTTTTGAAATATTTCTCCTTATCATTAATATTTGTTCTGTTAACCCTTAACATTATATACTTTGTTTTTAACCTGTCTTACATATTGAGGCATTCCTTCTTTTGGGTTATTTCGTTTTTATTTTTATCGTTGTAAAATGACTTGCGTTGGTGTTTTATAACTCTTTCGATAAGACTTTTTGGGTAATTATTTTTCGTTAATGTTTTTTTAATTACACTGAAATTAAACTTGTGAAAATAGTTTAATTATCACTTACTTGAAGCCCCTTCCCACAAATTCGAAAAAGATAAAGCGCCTCCAGTTCAGATCTTAGTGTTTGTAAAACACGTTTTCAAAAAATTGGCCTAGCGATTCATAACTGAGTTTTTTGATGATTATCAATGATGTCTATGCTTTAAAATTTTAACTGAATATTCAAAAAATGCCCCTAACTTCCTACAGACAAGAAAAATTGTTAAGATTGAAGCCTAGAAAACCTAATGAAAAAATATGCTATATAATATCAGAATGATCAAGGTTTGTTAAGTTGTAGATTAAATCTTTTTTTGCGTAATGAACTTTTTAAAATTCAATTTTTTCTTTTTATCAACAGTAATTACAGTATTTGCTTTGCTAGCCAAATTAGGTGTTTTATTTCCATAATTATCGAGGTCACGATAGATCAAGTGGTAGTGCAGCGGCGTATCTAGCCGAAGATCATGGGTTCGAATCCCGCTCGTGACACTGACTTTTTAATCTCAACTAAAAACCTTAATTAATTTAAAGATGTTAATTGGTCAAGCGGACCACGAAACTAGTGAAATTGTACACAAAAATTATGGGAAAGGATGATATCTGGATTATAGGGAGATCATATTATTTATTTTATTTATTTGTAGTCTAAATAGGTCAGGTACACAAGCATTGTCAAACAACACAACAAATTAATCATTAAAATATAACTATTAAAAAAAGGATATAAAAA